CTGTCACTGTCACTGTCACTGTCACTGTCACTGTCACTGCCAAGGGATGTCACCCATGGCGCTCCTCAGGGACTCCGTGCCCACCCTGGGCCACCACTGGGGGTGGCAGGAGGGTCCTGGGGGGGTCTGGGGTCACTGTCACCGACCCTGGGTCACTGTCACCATCCCTGGGTCACTGTCACCGTCCCTGGGGTCACTGTCACCAACCCCGGGGTCACTGTCACCATCCCTGGGTCACTGTCACCCTCCCTGGGGTCATTGTCACCATCCCTGGGTCACTGTCACCATGCCTGGGTCACTGTCACCATCCCCGGGGTCACTGTCACCCTCCCTGGGGTCACTGTCACCATCCCTGGGTCACTGTCACCATCCCCGGGGTCACTGTCACCAACCCTGGGGTCACTGTCACCATCCCTGTGTCACTGTCACCGTCCCTGGGGTCACTGTCACCCTCCCTGGGTCACTGTCACCATCCCTGGGTCACTGTCACAGACCCCGGGGTCACTGTCACCATCCCTGGGGTCACTGTCACCATTCCTGGGGTCACTGTCACCGACCCTGGGGTCACTGTCACCGTCCCTGGGTCACTGTCACCGTCCCTGAGGTCACTGTCACCATCCCTGGGGTCACTGTCACCATCCCTGGGTCACTGTCACCGTCCCCGGGGTCACTGTCACCATCCCTGGGTCACTGTCACCCTCCCTGGGTCACTGTCACCGTCCCCGGGGTCACTGTCACCCTCCCTGGGGTCACTGTCACCATCCTGGGGTCACTGTCACTGTCCCGGGGTCACTGTCACCCTCCCTGTGGGTCACTGTCACTGTCCCGGGGTCACTGTCACCCTCCCTGGGGTCATTGTCACCGTCCCTGGGGTCATTGTCACCATCCCTGGGGTCACTGTCACCATCCCTGGGTCACTGTCACCGTCCCGGGGTCACTGTCACCCTCCCTGGGTCACTGTCACCGTCCCCGGTGTCACCTTTGCCTCTCAATCCCCCCGTTCTTCCCCCGCTCCTCCCGGTTTTCTCCCGTTCCTCCCCCGTTATTCCCCAACTTCTCCCGGTTTTCTCCCGGTTCTCTCCCGGTTCCTCCCCCGTTATTCCTCCCTTCCTCCCGGTTCTCTCCCCGTTATTCCCACAGTTCTCCCCGGTTCCCGCCGG